CTGAGCTAGAGCCAGAGACCTGCCGGCGCTCCAAGCACAGCGTGAACTCCACCCCGATGCACAGAGAACAGGTCCTCGGTCATCATGAATCTGCTGTGGCCGTCACTGGCCTTGCTGGCCTCAGGACAGCTTGAGAGCACCATAACTCACACAGACACAGGGTGACAAAGGTGACAAGGCCTAATCATACTCCAGACGGTTTGTGAGGATGGCCTAAATGCTGAGGACAAACAGCAGGAAAAGAGCCACATGAAGACTTATGACCGGTACACTGATCTTAACTCCCCCTCAGGGATGACAGAGAACCCATCAACCAGCCGGCTGCCAGGAAGACGCACAGCCAAGGGCACCACCTCTCAGAGACGGGGATGGGCGGCATGGGCGAGGACTGCCCTCCCACCATTCATTCAAGTCCCGTTCACCAAGCAGCAGCCTCCTCCAAAGGCTGCCCGGGGGCCCCAGGCATCCCTAGTCACGGCCCAGGACGCTCGCCGCAGCGGCAGCAAGGGAAGACCCGCGGGCAGTCCACGGCCAGACTGGGACCTCAGGCATGTCAGGGCTCGTGACCCCTGACCCCGGAGACCAAGGGCTCTTGTGAGGAAGCTCTCACCCAGAAGAGGCAAATGCGAGCTTCAGCCTGCAGCGGAGCTGGGATGCGCTTCTGGGTGCAGCCCGGAGCCCTGGGGACTCATCCGCCCGAAGCCACGGGCCCACCACCAGCAGCGTGCAGAGCAGGGGGTGCGGGGCAGGTTCTCGAGGGCCAGAGGCAGACAGAGATGCCAAGAGCTCCCCCAGACCTGCTTTTCTCCCCACTCACCTATACGGCAGGTTCTCCCTTAAGTCCTCACCAACGACGGCGGGCCATCCCTGCGCCGCACGGAGGGCCCACGAGCCACGTCTCCACCGCAGCACAGAAATGAGTGAGAAGCGGCCCCTCTGCAGCCACGTCAAGCACTTGGCAGGGGCGCGGGTTCCACACTCAGGTAAGCCACAGGGCGACGCCACAGCTGTCTCCCGGGGGCTCAGGCGTCTCTGCCGCGCAGGAGACATGGCCACACCCGCCGCAGGCTTTCGGAGGAGACGCTGTGTGCGAGGCGCTGAGCACGGAGACGTTCCTGCCGCCACGGCCACCGTCGCCATGCGTACGGGAGGGGAACCCGCACCCCAGAGCCTGGCTCCGCTCTGTCACCCACTCTCCAGTGTGAGGCCTCGTTTCTGGCAAAGCACAGCAACCCCGGACGGCACAGCCCCACAAGGTGCTGCCCCTCATCTCCTGCTTCTCGTCCAAGACGCCCTCAGAGCACGTCGCAGTCTGACAGACACCCGCCTGGCCAGGGTCCGGGCCTCGAAGGAGCGCAGCCTCCTGTCCACGGCCTGGCTCCGGAAGCCGGCTGCGAGCAGCGAGCAGGATGCGGATGGAGTGCTGGGCCCTGGGGACCGTGCAACACTCACCGAGGCCCGGCAAGGACCAAGGCAGCGCACGGGGACAGAGGACACACCCAGATGCTCCACAGTCACCGCATCCCCAGCACACACCCGGGGAGCGGAAGCGTATCAGCCTCCAGGCTCCGAGAATGAAAACCGAATCCGTGGCCACAATGACCAAAGACAAAGGTCCCTGGCTGTAATCAAGCTCCTGGCTGAACGTGCTGCCAAACCCGCCGCAGCAGCGGCCGAGGAGGCCCTGGAGTGTCCAAGCACGACCGTGCAAGGGACGAGGCAGGCAGCCTGGCCTGAGGGCTCCCAACACCCCCGTGGGGGAAAGGACGCCCCACGGCCGCCCCACGCTGCCAAACAGACCTGCGCCCGCCTCCTGGCCCCACAGCACAGATGTTTCTCGGAAAGACCCCTCCTGCCACCAGCATCTCCGGGGTGCTACCGACCATTGGGCACAGAATCACTTCTCGCTGCACCCTCAGAACAATCCTCATGACAGACACGAGCCCCACTCCGACCGGGGGAAATCAGAGCTCGGAACTCAGGTAAACGTGCACAAAGCTAACACGGAGGTTCATCCCTACCCTCTGAAAGAAGAACACACCTCCACCCCCCTGCTACCTGGAAGGCTCCGGAAGGTTCCCACCTGACAGCCCCCGCCACCACTGGCCTTGCAGCCTCCAGAAGTTTCTGGGCACAAACATCTAGGAAGGTACAACTCCCAGTCGGGCGGATGGCAGTGAGGAACCAGGGGCACCAGCAGCGAGGCGTGGGGATGCTCAGCTCTGCTCCAGGGGGCAGCTGGCCAGCAGCTCAAGTCTGCTCTCCCCTCACCTTCCCCAGGCGAGGCGCAGCACAGATCCTTCCCTGAATGAGCTAGAGTGCCTGAGCGGAGGCCACCACGGGAGGACCCGGCAAGGGACAGACCAGGAGAAATGCCTGGAGACCAAACCCATGGGGCCTACTCTCCCGCCTGGGGCCACGGCTTCGGGGCGCTGGGGTCCCTGCTGTGTGTGAGCGGGAGCGCCCTCCTTGTGCCAGGGCCTGCCCGGACCCCTCGTGCTCGCCCTCTAGCCTCCTGCCTCTTCCCAGCTGCCCTCAATTCCTGCTCACCCGCCTGTGAAGATGTGCAGGAATGAAGGCGGCTCCTGGCCCTGCACGCAGAAGGCCACGGCTAATGGCCACATCACTTTCCTGCCCACGGGACCCGCAGCTGCCCAACAGCCGGCCCGCGTGAAGGACGCCGGACACGCAAGCCCTCTCCGTGCTGGTCAGGAAGGGCCTCGTGTCACAGGGTCCCTGCCGCCTCCTCAGGGGCCTGCCCAGCCATCTGTCCCACATGAGCACAGCAGGAGCTGCCTGGTCTCCCTTCTCACCTGAGCCCTCCGGCCCTCTGAACCCAAGCTCTCCTCTGCAGGACGGGGTGACGGCTCCGGCCCCTCCCCCGGGGCCATGCCGCGCTGCGAAAGGCCAGTCGCTCCAGTGGAGGCGTGTAGGCCAGCGCACCTCACCTCCTGCACAAGAGCCGCGGCACACAGCTCGCCCTCGGGGGTGCCAGAGCCGCACCCTCGCTCTCAGAGGGGCCCCAAGGGTCCAGAGAGATGGACAGGGTGCCACCGCAGGGGCCTGCTGCTGCCAGAGCAGAGATGGCAAGGTCGGCTCCGCGCACAGGCGCGAGCCAGAGGGCTGCCGGGGCCCTGCGGACGGAGCTGCTCTTGCCGCCACCTCCCCGCACACAGAAGCCGGCCTCCCGCCCCCTCACGGTTTGGCCTGAGAAAAACGAAGGCAAGTTTCCTTCCCTCTAACGGTTCATTCTGCTTCAAATGCAAAGTAAAGTGAAGAAGATCGTCTGGAAAAATGTAAAAGCTTTAATTTCAAATCACTTTTAATACCCGTTTCATCTGACAGTAGCTTTGAAAGCGAAAGACAATTTTATCGTTTGAGGTTTTTGAGCTAAATTGATGTGATTATGTCCAACATAACCAGATGCTTCTAAAAGCCCATTTTCAAAGTGACATCAAGCCCCAAAATAAGAAATCCTTCCCTCTGGCTATTAATGAATCCTTAAGACACTATGTCCGCAGAAGGCAGAGGCCGGCTCGGCTGCTCACAGACCCCCTCAGCTGTCCGCCGCTCGGAGAGCCCAGCGGGAAGTGGGCCGGTCACAGCCTCAGGGCAAGCCCATCCTGCCTGGAGCTGCCCCCGGCCAACGAGGCTGGTTGGGGATCTGCCGGCAGTGGGGTCCCCGGAAAGGCTTCCTTGTTCCAAAGAGGAGACCCAAGAAAAAGGCCTCTCCTCTGGCCTGCGGACGTGTCACCCACAGCCTGGGCAGCCACCTACTCGGCCCTGGAGAAAGGAGGCAGACCACCCGGGAGAGCCCAGGGGCAGCCTAAAGGAGAAGCACTTGCTCTCTGTTCCCTTTCCTGGCAACGGGCTCCTAAGACCCCTGGGGTTTCTGAGGTGAGAGGGGCAGTGTGTGACTCCTAACAAGCCCCTGTCAACTGCTGTCCTTTTGAGCTAAAGAGGCAACTGCAGGCAGGGCCAGAGCAATCAACCATCTCCAGGTCAACGCCCCCGTGGGGGTGGGGGACTGGGGGGACCTGAGCTCTTCCCCAGCAGCTAACAACTTAATCAAGCATGGAAACTCCCTAAAATCCCCCAGAGCAGGGCGCAGACAGCTTCTGAGTTGGGGAACACACCTAGGTGCTGGGAGCGGGGGTGCACCTGGAGGGGACAGGGAAGCTCTCACCCCCAGCCCTCCCACCAGGCATCTCCTCCATCTGGCTGCTCTGATTGCAACCCTGGCCATAAACCGGTGATTGCACATAAAGCATTTTCCTGAATTCTGAGTCATTCTAGCAAATCTGCAAACGGGTGTGGGGTGTGGAGGGACAACCAGGGCCAAAGCACAGGGAGCCTGGGGAGCCAGGACTCACGACCGAGGTGTGGAATGGGGGCAGCTTGTGGGACCAAGCGCTTCCCCTGTGGGGTCGTGTCAGGAATGAGCAAGACAACAGAGCACCGCTGATCTCACGGGGTTGGGAGGAAAGACCTAACACCGAGAGGGCAAGAAGGCACACAGCTGCTGGCCTCCGGGCCTCCCGCCAGGGAAGGGGACTCCTCCCTCAGTGTGCAGCCCGGGCGAGGTCTTCCCGATCTCTGTTCCTCTGTGGGGACCTTCCTGAGCACACGGACATTCACACGCTGCCCCCTGGGTGCCGGGTTCCACACCATCAGGGGGTCACTGGTAGCCCACGCCACAGCAAAGACAGGGTTCCCCAATCCAGGCGCACGTCCTTCTCGTGGCCCCAAAGCACCAGGAAGGCAGAGGTGGCCTGGCACGTGGCAGGGATGACCGCACCATGCCGCCTCAGCAGTCACTGTCACGAGGCAGAAAGCTGGGGCACCCTGCACCCTCCAGACTGACCTCTCCCGCTCACTCAGGCCGAGGCCAAGGGACAGTGAAGCGGAGCCGCTCCTGAGCCACGCCCAGGGGACACACACGCTCTGGGCTCCTTTCCAAAGCAGACGCATCCCGCACACACCCGGGCCGCCAGGCCTACCTGCTGGTGACGGTATTGTTCCGGTCCTGCAAGGCCACCTCTCGCTGCTGCAGGTCAACAATGAACCTAGAAAGGTCTTCCGGGGTCCTGTGGGATCAAGAACACGTGTCAGTGGCAGCCACTCCCCGGGGGGGGACCTCATTCTGCACCCGGACGGCCGCCAAGACCACGCCAGCCACCCATGAGTCACAGAGCCGGGACGGGTCGCATCCCCCGCGCCGTGCACGCACTGCGACCTGGTTTGAACCGGAGCCCGCCCCTGGCTACGTGGTTATCAGGTACATTATGTTTACTTGACACAAGTTTGTTTCAGCTGTAAGAACAGGTCAACAGCGAGCCGCCGGTGTCGGCCCGCAGGGAAGGGGAAGTGAGGTAGAGGGTGCCCATCTCCCTGGAGCCGGCAATAGGAAGAGAAGCCACAGCAGACGCCCCCACGGACGCTGCTCTGTCGTGTTCACACCCCTCCCACACTGCCCACCTCGGCTCGCGTCCCTGCTGCCACTGTCATCACCTCACAGAGGAGGAAACAGAGGCTCCAGGTGTCCACAGCGGCTCACGATGCACCCCTGAACAGCGCTGACCTCGTCTGACCCCTGGGAACCTGACACTGGGATGCAGCAGAACATGCGCCAACAACACCCGCGACAGACTACGACACCCGGTGCAGCAGCATGGGCCCCACACAGCGCATGGCATGCAAGCTAAGAGGCTCCCAGGCCTGCAGGCGGCAGCCGAGCTCGAGGCCTAGGGACCAAGCACAGGGCCACACGGGGCCGCGTGTGGGAGGCGCCACAGCCTCCTCCATCACTGAAGGAGCCATGGGGGCAGTGACAAAGCTACACCCTCAAGACACGTCCTCGGTGGAATGGGAGTCTGTCACAAAGCCACAGGAGTGGCTACGGTCACCACAGGGTCCGAAGGCCCTCTCCCCGGCCTCCAACGGCACCACGGTGCCCGGCTTCCAGGAGCATCCGCCACAGGACCAGGCCCCAGGGGCTCCGCCTCCTGCAGCCTTGCCTCCGGACACAGACATGTCACCGCAGTGCCCCCGAGCTCTGCGCGAGTTCACCCTGTGCTCGCAGTGCTCTTCCTCAACACGTCTCAGGACAATCCGCACTCCCTGGAAGAGGGAACCTCCCATCATGCCCCCAGGCCACTCCCCATCCTGCCTGCCCAACTCTGCATTCGCCACGGGGTCTCTCGGTGTGCGTCGTCACTTGAACAGGAGCTCCCAGCACCTGTGACCCGTCAGCAGTCCATCTGAAACCCCGCACGCCCCAAATCTCACACACCTGGGCCTCTACAGTCCACACCCTTCCCTTAAGTGCTCCCCGCAGGTGCTCCCCCTCGCAGATGCCCTCACAAACACCCGTCCCGGCCACCTGAGCAACAGCTCCTCACTGGGCCTATAGGAACCACTGGGCACAGGAGAGATTTCTCCCCGCGCTCCTCCCCAGACCAGACGACCATCTGTAAGGCCCCTGTGCAAGACTGAAATCCAGCAACAGAAGGTCTTGAGCCAGCTTTGAATGCCAGGTCCCATTCTTCCTGGAGCTTCCTCAAGCTTCCCAACCTCGGGGAGTTAAACATATGGGCATAAAAATAAAGAAATCTTTTCAAGCCAAGAGGTATTTTTTTCTGAAACATTCTAGAGATATTCAAGTTGTTGTTCCTCTGTGTTAGTCAAAGGGGTACCCAAACGGTTACTAAGTCCGTGGGACCAGTTTAATGAAAACAAATCACCAGACAGCCCGCACATCCACATCTGCCCCACCCCGGACCTCGCTTCGTTGGGGAGGCAGGTGGGTGCCGCATCTTCCGGCCCCGCTGCATCTGCTCGGGCCCAAGCGGAGGGAAGGGCCCATGGAGAGGACCCATCAGCAGGTGGCCACTAAGTCTCTTGGGGTTCTCAGGGACCGAGGCAGCAGCTGTCACCGAGGGCAGGTGACCTGCAGTTCCCTCCAAGTAGAAGCCTCCAGAAATCCGGAGGCCAATCGGCAGTCAGGAGCACGCAACACCAATTCGGAAACAAGCTTCGTGCCCTGAGGTCCAAATTAGCCCCCAAAAGCTAGCAGTCAGATGCAGTGCACAGGCAGACTCACTTTCACCCAGACTCTCCAATCTCCTCTGAAGTGAAGATAATTTGAAATGGAACAATTTCATAATGAGGGAAAATTGGAACGTTTCAAATCAGGAGAAAAGCAAACTTAATACGCACTGTGAGATACTCCATCCCACGGACGGCGGGGCACCCGCACCCCCTGGGACCCCCACCCAGGCCAGTGCACGCGAGGCCGCGCCCAGGACCCCGACCTGGCTGTCCGCTCCCTCAGCACGAACGCTCCGACAGAAGCCGTCAGGCACACAAGCGCGGTGCGACTTCCGGGCGGCCATCACGGGGCCTGGCTCCACATTCGAATGAGCCGAGCAGCAAACCAACTTCCCACCCCTCCCCCAGAGAGAGCACCGGCCCCGCAAACACGGTCCAGTCGCCTGAGGGGCGGGACGTCCGCAGCCTAGGTCACAGAGTTCGTGCTGCCCCTCCCAGAGCGGCCGAGAGGGCGGGGCGTCCCCCGCCCCCCCCCCCACACACACACACAAACCACAGCGCACAGCCCCGCGGATCTGGCTGACACGCCTCGGCAGGCCCTCCAGCGGGCTGGTCCTTGGCCACGGTCCCAGCCCCCGAATCCCAGGTGCCACCATTCAGATGAGCCACCCCCTCCTCGCAGAGCAGGGACGTGGGCTGCAGGGCCTGCCTCCCCCACGTGCCCAATTCCAGAAGAGGACACTGCGTGGCACGGCGCCCACCCGCCCCGCCTCAGCCGGCCCGCAGCTGCCGCGGGCGCAGCAGCACAGCACAGCCCTGCCCTCGGTGGCCTGCGGGGCCCGACACCTGCGGCCCTGACCGGTCACTCCCGCCAGCACTAGGACTCCGCTTCCCCCGAACAGCTCGAAGCACAGAAAACCAGCGGGCCACACTCAGGACTCTCCCACCCACCAGCTCATTGTCCCCTCAGAGACGGGGAAAAGGGGGGACATCTTTCAAGGAAAGAGACGGCGCAGGTTCGGTCACCGTCCAGACAACTGCCAGCTGACTCGCCAGCTCGACGGGGCTCCTCCGGCTTTATTCCCAAACCCCGAGGCCCCGGGCCTGCTGCAGCGCGGCCGCCCGACCCCCTGGCGCACTCACTAAGCGCACGCGGGCACAGGAGGCGGCGGGAGCCTTTGCGGCCGGTGTGTGAGGTACACGGGCCGACCCCGTAACTCGACAGGGGCAACAAGGGCAGGACGCAGGTGACAGAGACCGCCGTGTGTGACGTCTCTGTATAAATGAGGAATACAAGGTCCAACTCGAAGTAAGTAATCAATGCGTTAAACTGCCTGGGATTCTGCACACCCTCAGTTCCGCGGGGCTGATCAAAAAGAAAACACATTCTGTTGGGGACTGACGTGTATGAGAATTTAGTTAGAAACAGCACATTTAGGGCAATGGTTCTGGAATGTTCTGTGAAAGAAAAAGGAGAGAGAGGTGGGTGGTGCAGTGTGTGGACACTCTTAAGCCAGGAGAAGGGGCACCTGGGTGGGTCAGTCGGTTAAGTGCCCAACTCTTGATTTCGGCTCAGGTCATGATCTCAGCTGCAGAGTCTGCTTGAGAGTCTCCCCCCCGCCCCTGCTCCCGCTCACACGGGTGTGCTCACGCACACTCTCTCTCTCTCTCTCTCAAATAAATCTTTAAAAAATAAACAAATAAAGCCAGAAAAGGGGAGAGCCAGGAGGAAGGGTCCTAGCTATGCACGGTGACCTGTTGGGAAGCAGCGGTTTAGGTGAAAACACGCCCTAAGGATGGGACGTGGGCAGTAATCAGACACTGAAGGACTCAAACGTTAACCAGGTCCCCTGGGGCGCGGCTGAGGTGCATCAGGGAGGCGTCTGGGGGCAGCAGAGACAGCAGCGTGCGTGACTCGCGCGTCCCGAGGTCCCCGCCGATCAGCTCCTCAGGGAGGAAAGCCAGGACAGCTTCCTGTCTGGTGTGGTGGCTCCCATGGCCTGGCTGTCCTGCCCCCACTGCCCCAAGGAGGCCCTGGCCACCAGACAAGCTAAGACAAGTAACCAAGAGGGGAGTCCGCACCTGCCAAAGGGCAACTGCTCTTCCAGGAATGCATCTCAAGGAAGCAACCACGTGGGGCGCCAAGTGGCTCAGTCAGTGAAGCATCTGCCTTCGGCTCGGGTCATGACCCCAGGGTCCTGGGATTGAGCCCCACATCGGGCTCCCTGCTCCACAGGAAATCTGCTTCTCCCTCTCCCTCTGTCCTTCCCCTGCTTCGTGCGTGCTCTCTCTCTCAAATAAATAAAATCTTAAAAAAAAAAAAAGGAAACAACCACATGTGGCTAATATGTGCAAATATGTATTCGCATCTCTGCTTTCGACTCTTTGATATATACCCAGAAGCAGAACTGACGGAACATCCCACCCTCAGTGTTCCGAGGAACAACGCCACTGTTGTTAATGTTAAAAAAAAAAAAAAAACAAAAAGCTCAATAACAGGAAATAAGTAGGTTCTCACAGCCCAACATGGGTACTATCTACCCAGGACACCTGAGGCTGAGCACAAGAGGTGAGCAGGTGGGTGCCACAGCAGCAAAAGGCACGGGAGAACATGGGGCACACGCTGTGGACAGGGCAACGGGACACATGTGGTGCCATCACAGGGCGGGGCAGTCTGGAATGGGAAGAGCGGCCCATGTCATCGGCAGTCACTCTGGTCCACCCACCGTCACCTCTCGGTCCGCAGAATCGAAACCCCTCCAGGTGGGCCCAGGATCCGCAAACCAATTCCCCAGTGTTTCTTAGGCACAACTCAGAACCACTGGTCATTTACAGAAAAAGCGGTAAGACAGTCCTACAGACGCTGTAGGACAAGTCACCAAACAGGTTATGCCATCAAGAAAACCACCCACTGTACACTTGACAAAGAAAACATTCCCTGAGGTTCTCTGTCAATTTAACGGACAAACATTAGATTCCAGAATTTGATCCAAATGTAAAAGAATCCCAGAAAACAAGGCCATGAACTCCCACGACC